GGCCTCTTTGGGTTCATCTTGTTTGGGACTCTCTGTGCTTCCTGGGCTTGTATGTCCATTTCCTTCACCAGGTTAGGGAAGTTTTCTGTCATTATTTCTTCAAATATGTTTTCAATTCCTTGCTGTCTCTCTTCTTCTGGATGTGAATGTTGGTATGCTTGATATTGTCCCAGAAGCTCCTTAAACTCTCCTCAATTTTGGGGGTTCTTTTTGTTTTTGCTGTTCTGGTTGAGTGTTTTCTGCTACCTTATCTTTTACACTGCTGGTTGGATCCTCTGCTTCATCTAATCTGTTGATTCCCTGTAATATATTCTTCGTTTCCATTATTGTATCCTTTATTTCTGACTAGTTTTTTTTTTTATGGTTTTCATCTCCATTTTTGTTTTCTCTCTGTTGGGAGTTCTTCCTGAGATCACTTAGCATTCAGTGTTTGGAATGCTGCAATAAGCAATGAAGATTGCTTATCTCCATTTCACTTAGTTCTTTTTCTGGAGCTCTGTTCTGTTCTTTTATTTGGGACATGTTTCTTTGTCTCCCCATTTTGGCTGCCTCCCTGTGTTTGTTTCTATGAATTAAGTAGGGCTGCTATGTCTCCCGGTCTCAATAGAGTGGCCTTATGTAGTAGGTGTGTTGTGAGGTTCAGTGGTGCAGTCTTTCTGGTCACCTGAGCCATGCACTCCAGGCGTGTCCCTTGTGTGGGTTGTGTGTGCCCTCCTCTTGTAGTTGAGCCTTGGTTGATAACTGAACATCAATGTGAGGGACTGACCCTTGGGCTCACTGGTTGTGAGGACTGGCTTTGACTACAGTGGAAGAGTTGATGTGCAGTAGCTGATCCTATGGAGCAGGATCTGCCTCAGCAGGATGTGGTGCCTGCCCGATCTGCCCCTTGGGTGTGTCGTACTTGGAGCATTCAAAAATGCTCCAGCTCTTTCTGAAGCTGGCCACTGGGGGCACCAGCCCCAGGACCACCTTGGAGGGGGTCCCCTGTAGGTCAAGTTCAGTCACAGTCTGTGCCCCACCAGGGGCCACCTGGCAGGATCCAGAAAGAAATCTGCAGATGGCTGCCACCTGCGCTGTGCTTAGAAGCACCTTGAGAGGCCAAGCCACGAACCAAGGCTGGCTGCTGCTAGTGCCGGCTTATGGCTGCTCAGCCCGAGGTACAGGACATGCTCAAGCCAGATGCTGCTCATCTGGGTTCCAGGAACCTTTGAGAGACCCTAGGAAAGTCTGCAGCTTGAGCCAAGGCAGGCGGTCTGCTTGAAAAAGCTACTGAAAGCGGCCTGGGTGTGCCTGAAAGTTGGGCGGGGCCAGGTCTCTAATTGCCATGGCAGGGCTAACTAATGGCAGAGACCCAGAAATGGCGACTTCCTGTGTTTGCTCGCCTGGAAAGCTCAACAAAGTAACAATGGCCTACACCAGCTCCCCCGTCCAGGAAAAAGCCGCCTCTCCAGCCTGTGTCCCAAGCCAGACAGCTCAGTTCCCCACCATATGCCCCAATTCCCCACCACACG